CCCCCCCCCCCACAGAAGACAAGCAGAAGCTGACCGCCCGGCCCACACGGGCCTGGAGCCCCGATCCTCACAGGATCACAGACACGCAGGACCTCCTCACGCACATGAGCGCCACACCTGCCTGTGTGCACACAGACCCCCGGCATGCCACCTACGCAGTACACACTTCTCACGAGGATACAAGCACACCACTAGCGTGTGCACACGGCCCTCTGCTTACACCTGCCCTTAGACCCCAGCAGCGGGTGGCACGCCCCAGCCCGCCTGCCTGCCCCGATGGACTGCACACTAAGCGGGACACAGCCGGGCCACCCCGGGGGGTGTGGGTGGGAACCCAGCTTCCTCTGCTCACTGGCTCGACCTCTCCCTTCTCCCCACAAGTCGCTCTGGCCTCAAATCTACAGTCAGTTACTCAAGAGCTGGCCGGGTCACCGGCCGCTGCTGCCCAACCATATTCTGGGTGCAAGTGGCCCTCTCCCACTCAGAACGGAGTTACTGCTACCAACAGTCAGTAATGCTGCATCCGCAGCCAACACTGGCAGACCAGGGCTGAAAATAAAGTTGACTACTTGAACAAAATATGGCAATAGGTCCCAGAGCCTGGGCACGGTGCACAGTCCTCTCTGTACCCGTGGGCTTGCTGTGGGACAGGGCGCCTGCTTATGAACACAATTCTTGCCTAGAGGGAGACCTGGAGGCTTGGGAGAGAGTGGTGGTGGTTCTCTGAGAGGAGGGGGGCTACTGGAGCAAGCAGAGGCTCAGGTCTCCAGGCCTAAGCAAATCCTATGCCAGGCCTCCAGAAGGGACAGTCTCCATGCCTGGCACCCTTGACCCCTCCCAGGGATAAGCTGGCCCCGCAGGGCCTGGATGCCCCGACTAGGATGGCTGGACCAGCAGTGGTGTCATGTCTGGAAGCCAGGGACATGCCACAGTGGGGCATCTGGTATCGGGGATCCCCTCTCTGCAGCAGACACGGCGGAGCACCATCCTGACCCATCTCCAGGGGCCACGAGCAGGAGCTGACACTGGCTCACAGCTGCAACAAGCAGCCCTGACACAGGAGTCGCCTTTGTGGAGAAGATGGTCTGCATTAACTGACAGGTGTGTGGCTTCCAGAACTCCCCCCCCGCCCCGGCAGGACCCTGAGGTGGCCAGGGTCTCTGCGGCAGTCCCTCTGGCAAACCCACTGCGGGAAACCCGTCTCAGTGTCAGCGAGTCCCAGCCTCAGGCTCAGCGC